GAATATACTGCATAGCACTAGTAAAGATCGTGAATCTACACTGGGACACTTGAATCCATCACCGGCAGTAAACTTCGTCTGTATAAACAAATGTCAACTGGTTTTTCATTTGCACAAATACGAAAAATCTATTCAATCTAGTGCTACAATTACAGCAAGAGAAATTAGTGCTTTTGGGAAAAGCCAAAATTCCCACGCAAAAGAATGCCAATGCTATTGAAAAATAAAAATACACCGTGGGTGGTAGAGTATTAAAAAGTGCTTCACGGACGAACATCAAACAACTAGAAGCGGAATCTGTTTTCGTCAGTAACTTTACCAATTTATTCGATATTGCTCATAAAGATGCTTTGACTTTATATTCAGTAAAAGACAAAGAGTTTCTTCTTGCCTGAGAGAGAAAGGAAGACGTGGAAGTATGTCCAATTGAGGTCGAACCAAAAGAAGAAGCAAACTAAACAGCGACAGCTTCAAATGAGTTGAAAATAAAAAGAGATTTGAACGTTTAAAAAGATGAACAAATGTTAAGTTAATCATAATAATATTGATTACATGATTTCAATGCAGCAGTAGGATAATGATGAGTTGTATGTACCTCCAGCAAGAGGGCGGAAAATATAGTCCAACGAAGGTCATCATTATTCAACTATTGTAACTTTAGAGAAGCGTCTGCTCAGATAGAACTATAAGGATCGAAAATGCAATGTATGTTTTATCAGCTACAATCATTAGTGGCAATATACGTGTTCTACCCTTAATCGAGCCAATAAGACAAGCTCGTCGAGAATATCGAGAAAATCGCTGATGAAATAAAACTTCATTTGTTACGACTATTCCATTGACAAGCCCATTGGGACGGAAAATTACTCAGATTTAACTTCAAAAGATAAAGTTGATCGCCTAGCAGTTATAGTATCAGGGGATGGTATTATGAAATTAATGGTGTGCCGAAACGCAATGGATCGAAGCCTACAACTGCAGTGTTTGAGTTACTTGAAGAATGGAATTAATTGAACGCATTAATTTTATGTCCTCATTACAATAAAGGCAACAGTGGAGTAAAGGCTGTGCGTGCGTACTTGAAAAATTGTGCGAAGACCAGTTTAGTGCTGTCGACATCACATACTGAACTTATTGAGAGGTTTAATGCGTTAATGGAGCTCAAGTGGTCCGAAGATTAAATATTTAACGATTTATGAGAAAGTGGAACTGAAAATTCGAGAAAAGTACGGAGTGGAATAATTGAAGATGCAGTAATAAATTAAATCCACAAAAATATGTTTGTCAAGTATATCATCGACGAAGAAGGACATTTCAGCCAGAGATGACTATAAGGAATTGCTGCAACTTTCCTAATATTCAGGAGATGAAACTGCTGTGATTTTAAGATTGTAGACTGGCGCGCTATATCGAGCTGGCGGATGGCAGTTAATTTAGGTATTGAATGTTCTATTTCGATCGCGTAGTTCAAACTAATCGCTAGAGAATTATTCAATTTAAAGCTTCTAACGTTTTGTCATACAAGTTTATATTAAGTACTGGTATACTGCGTTCAGGAGAACCATTCCTTTATAACGATCTTAATCTTTAGCGAACTCATAACTATAAAATCAAATATAGTTATAGGGCAACGCGGCTAAAGCCTCAAGACAATTATGAAATAAGTGAGACACTTATTGATTGTTTTTGATGTTAAAGTTTCTTCTGAGATGAAAGTTAATATGGTTAAATCATTAGTGAAAAAGGAGCGACTTTCTTTACGGCGTATTGGCAGCGAGACGATCGTGTTCAAACAGTACAATTGTCTGATTTGTTTCAAAAATAGCCATATTAGGTTACAGGCCTGGTTATCCCCCAAGATTTCTTAAATCAGAATTCAGATGTATTTGGGAAATCACAAAGATTTCATTGACGGTAAAAGGGTTCCACATCTGAAAGTAGCTAACGATGCAGCTGAACGTGATTTCAAGCTGATTCAAACTTTCAATGGGATAATCACCAATCAAGAAGAACAAAGCAGTATTCGTAAGTAGTTGAACAACATCTGACTAAAGTATCCATCAAATAAATCTACAATCGAGACATTGACATTTTTTCAACGAAGCATTATTTTTATACAATATTAATGATGATGATCATAACTTATATTAATATTTTAATTATTAAATATATTTTTATTCGCACCGAAATAATCATATTATATTTTTAAACAAGTTGGCAACCAGTAAAATTGAAATTTTTCTTGAAATTTTTACGAACGTTGTTATAGATGGATAAACATTTAAGTGGTGGACTTTCTCGAAGATAATTTTTTTGCCCACATTGCATATACTATATGACAATATTGTATGGTTCGTAATTTAATGTATTATTATAAATATAATTAATATAAATAAAAGTATGCTTTTAAATGAATATTTACTAGTGTGCCCTAAATCAGTTAGGGAACGTAGTGAAGACGCGCCCTACGGAGTCTAACCGGATTCGGGCACTAGTGCCCCAGGCTCAGTTAGGGTTCGAAGCTACCGGGAGCCGATTCGGTATCATTCATATTAAATAATGGCGATTAAGTTACTAGAGGGTCCACATTTTGGTTTCTTTGTGTACCTATGAATATAATCCTGACGCAATTCGTACAGAGTAGTTGAATAATTTGTAGGTACTCTATTTTGATTGCTTAGTATGAATAATATGTGATCGTAATTATTTATATTAGCATGTTGAGGATATGCTAATGATCTAGTAAGTAGTTGAACGAATGGTGTGGATGCATGGTTAGATGAAAATAACTTTGTGAGACTTGAAGGAAGTGTTTGTTTTTATAAAATTAAATTATATATTTCTATTTTTGTTTTCAAACGCATCACTTCAGGTACTTTTTGAATTTCTTTGTATAAAGACAAACAAAATAATTTATCCTCATCTTCTTCTTTTATATCGGAGATACTTCTATTGTTTATAATTTTCTCAATGATCTTCGCAAAATGTTCGTTGGCTGGAGAAAGTTTGATTTTTTTTTCTTTTTTACTGATGGTTTGAATTTTTGTCTGTCTGATTTTGAATTTCAGAACTACTCTCTTGGTTTGGGTTTTCAGTTTTTGGATTTTCATAAATCTGTTTCAAAATTGCTTACTATTGATTGAAGAAATTGTAATCTCCTAAAAAATAAATACGATGACTTGACAGGTGCTGTCGATCCAGACTTAACATTTATTATTTTTAGTTCTTTTACATGACCATCTCGAAGATTTTTCCATTTTTTTTCTTAATTCTAATCCTAAAACGAAAATTATTAATAATGTAGAGCATCATACAAATTAATACAATAATAATAATTAGATGCTAGGATTTATATGCAACAGTGTGTTTTCTTACAACTTCTGATTATTCTAATTACATAGTAGTGGTACTTTTATTTAGCATATTTTGGAATAAATACTTATTATTACATATTTTGAATAAAATTAATATTATTGCATTTTTTGACTATAAAAACGCGAAAAATTCATGATTTATGGTATACCTCGTTAGACTTTTTTACGTCATGTGATGTCGAACAACGTTTTAGTAAATATAAGAACATATTATAAGGTATAAAAGAAATCGTTCAGTTTTGAAAATTAAAAAAATCATGTAATTGTTTCGCGTAATTCATTTTTATAGCATTAATAATATTTTATTAATTTTTAAAACGAATTATTTATTACTATTTTTAGTCTATATTTAATATTTTTGGTATTTTTTTTATCAAGCAAAATACATATTTTACAATTTTTTATAACACATAAATCTTAGCCCTAGTAATAGTAATAATAATAGTATAAAATAATGTTATTAGTTTATTATCACAATAAATTGTTTTCTCTTTTATTTTTTTAGATACTATTATCAACAGGTTGCTCAATAACCGAGTTACATTACAGTTATAGAATTGAAAAATCTACGCTGAGGTATGCAAAGTACGTAATTAGGATCAAATTAAGGAATGTTGTAATGAAGAAATTAACAATCAGAAGTGGATAGAAATTTTAAATGAATTTGAAAAACATGTAAAATTCCTAAATTGTACCTACTGTAACATTAGATGGGAAGCATATTCCAATGATTCAACCACTAGATTCCGGTATCCAATTAAACTTATTATAACTATATACAAACATTTTTTTCTCTTATTTTAACGGCTGTATGTAATTCAAACTATTGCTTTATATGGCTTGATATGGGAGGTTTTGGAAAAGATGGTGACTCGGCAATTTATATAGAATCTACTTTAAGTTTTCATATAAAGTCTTTATATGAAAACTGACGAAAAAGAAGTTAGGTATTCCTGATCCCAGACCTATCACTCATAATGGAGATATCAGAGCTTCATATTATGTTATAGTGACTGGCTGACAAAGCATTTGGTAAGTTGAAAAATTTGATGAGACCTTATGATGGTAAAATGTTATTACATGAAAATAATATATTCAACTATCGTTTAACTTTGGTACGTCATTATGTGGAATGCACATTTGGAATTATGTGCAATAAGCGGTGAATACTACACCGACCAATCGTTGTAAAAATATACTTATTTTGCAGAAAAGCTTTATATGCTAAATATGTTAAAGCTTAAAGCTATCTGATATATTTAAGCTAATCGGTAATAATTTATACAGATAGCTACACAACTCAAAACCGAAATAATATTCTATCCAATGCTTTAATGCATCTTAACATCAAGTATAAAATAGATATAACTCAAAAATACCTAGAAAAAGATCACACTCAAATAGAATATGACAGCGTACACAGTGTCATAGATAGGAAAATGAAAAAACTGATTATTATTTACCGAGTCAACTATATGTAACAACTAACAACTAAGGCCAAAAAATATCCATTTCCATACAAAAATAAGCTGTTCTTTAAAATGTGTTGTTATATTATTATTCAAATCATTTTTATAATTAATAATAATATTTAGTTAGGAGACAAAATGTAGTCAAACAATAATTAAAAATATTATCTGACCATGACCATAAAATAATAGTGAGATGAATTAATAATAAAAATAATGTTAATATTATATTATTAAAACGGCCTATCTCAGTATGACTATCCCGTAACGACACAATATGTATATCTATTATCTCATGTAAAACTTTAAATTTACATCAAATTTGAATTTTTAATAAAAAAGGCTTAAAAACCTTCAATATATTTCATTTTGACAAGAAAAATCATTTAAAACCTCTACTGTAAAATTATAAAAACTAAAATAGATGTTGTTGCAGTGGACAGTGAATAGTGATAGTATGTGTATTGCATAATTATGTCAGGATAAAAGACAGTTTCAAATAGGAGTAGGTATACACTTTATACAGAAACATTGTCAAACCTAAATCCATTACATTACGCACTATAAACGTGCTGTAAGAGATGCAGATATACCTAATTCGAAAAAAAACTACTAAATGTAAGTGGTAAGACAATATGATTTAAATAGTTTTGTTATTTTTAAATTACTAAAAAAATAAAATCATAAATATATTTTAAAATTAATGTTTATTTACCCAATTTTTGTTTTTTATCTTCTGTATCTTCAAGATTACTAAACATGAGAACTAACTCTTTTCAAGCTTTATTTTTAAGGGTTCTGTTCGAATATTCACTTGACGTCATATCCCATAAAGCCGGGCTTTTTTCTATTTCACTAATAAATAAATCAGTTTCCATTTCCATTTTCTCAGTATAAAAATAATAATATTTAAATATAAAAGACAACGTGGTATGATTAAGGTTATTAAAAATAATTTTAAAAATCAAATTTTTACTTATATAAATTACAATTTACAATAATTAATAACAAACGCTGTTTATTTTCGCTGTTTCTTCGTAGTCCATAGACGCACGTGTCAACTGAACTATCCGATAAAGATAATCAACAGTATTTAAATTATTCGCAGTGTCATGTGTGGAAATAGGATCTTGCATGGTTCCTGCGAACGACACGCGTTATTGCATGCTATGTGAACGATTATGTATGGGAAATCCGTATATCTTAATACGTGCGATTAATTGGAACGCTTGTTCGCACGTCCATATGAATCTAGCCTTATTGTTTTCAATGTAAAATTCCAGTTTAATAATGAAACGATCAATATTAAAATACATGGTACAATAAAAAAAATTTTTAGGCTGATTTTTTTCCAAGTAATATGATATAGTTATATAAAAACATACAGCCTCTATTTTGACAGTATCTTCGTTTCAATGAAAGAATTTTGCAAAATTTGCGGTTTAAGGAGAGCCTACAAAAAACAATTTTTCGTATGTGTAATTCACGTTTTGTTTTGTTGAAAACTCAATACTCACGATAAAATGTGCAGCTAAAATATGTTAAAAATCAAATAAAAATTAAACTTCACTTAAATATATATAAATATATTTTTTTTTTGAACATCATTTCAACGAGCATAAAATAACGAATTGAACTATATACCACAGTATTTTTTTGTATTTTTACCGTAGACTATACTAACTAAGCTGTGCTTAATGACTATTGCTTATGTATACCGTGCACGTTCTGTGCAGACAGCTTACTTCAAAATCGTGGACTATGCGCCACCACCAGGCACCAGGGGGTTTTACCGGCGTTGTCATATTTTTTATGTATCCCAAGGATAACGTAATCAGTGGCGTCGGAGAAGGCGACAGAGGGGGCAATTGGCTCCTTAAATATAACCCAGAGGGAGCAAAAGTATAATTTTTACCTCTGTCCCAACTATATAAAATTAAAACGTATACCTACTATAGTAAATTATATTTAATTTATATGTTTATACGTATTTAAAATTAGACGTATTTTGCTGAGCGCATTGAAAAGACTAATAAAAACATATTTAAGGTCCATAATGACCCAAAAGAGATTAATCTATGTGATGATTTTACACGTTTATAAGTCTTTTACAGTGAAAATTGATTTAAAGTTAATTGCCTAAAAATTTGCTTCCAGAATTTCACAAAGAAAATCAACATTTAGAAATTTTTTATCTTATAAAGATTTTCTTTAAATATTTTCAAATGTTGATTTCTTTTAGGAAGTTTATTTTATTTTATTTTATTTTTTTTACTAATTTGTGTATTGAAATATTGTTAATTTTGAATTTAACTCAATAGATACAATAGCACAAATATTCTTCAATATTTTTGGCTGGTTTGGTATACACGACTTGTGTTATTTAACGTGCGACACTGTTAATTATCGTAACTATGATTTTTTTATACAGAATCGATTACCGTATCTCTGTCACTGTGCGTCATCTTGCAAGCTCATATAAGTAAAAAATATTCTGAGAAGTTGACCGCTGAAAATCTTATCGACTTAATGAAAAATTACACTTTACATAACTCCAAGTATTTAGCGGCTCGTTAAAACTAAAAAAAAAAAATATTTTCATATTAAAACAAATAGAATAGGTAATAAAATATAGATATTTAATATTTTCTTCTTTAAAAGCCTATTTTGTATATCAATAAAGACCTTATTTTTAATATAAATAAAATGTGCATTTTTTTATTAATGTGTATTAGTCCTTAAAAGTTTTTTGGATCACGAAAAATAAATTTTAAAATAGACTGCTGTAGAAATTAGTTGGTGACCTTAAGTCTATGACCAACGTTTGTTAAGGAAAATTCCAATAATTTAGTAGAAGAAAACTATTAAAAATTCTAAATATTTTAAAAATAAGATTATAAGTGAATATCAAAAAACATTTCTATTTACATTTTTAATTTTTAAGCCTAGTGATTAATACCTACTTAGCAACTAGCAACTAGTGTTGACATATTCAGTGTTTTAAACACACACACGATTAGAGTCATAAATTCGATAAATGGACAAAGATAATATTATATCAGATAAAATGTACAATAGATATTATAATGTATCTAATATGATGCTATAATGTATCTAATATAATGCTTATGCCAAAATTAAAGACAATATAATTTATAACCTCTAACGTTTATACGTATATATATATACGATTAAATAGGTCACGCATTCATGTGTGACATCATTTAATGATTTTATGCGTACTAATGTACTATATTATGTCTATATTATACTCGTTACAAATAATTCTTATAATATACTTATAAGTTATACTTACCTACCTAACAATAATATTTTGCTTATTGATGTAATATGTTTACAGTTATATAAGTAGATTAAACAATAATGAGTTAAACAAAACACATTATCTCCTCAAAAACCTATAATTGTACTTTGGGGAGAGATGATCTGATATGAACAAATAATAATTGCTTATGCAGTATATAATTCCATATAAACCTAAGTTTATATAGAAACAAAATAGAATAGAAATATATTATGCTATGGAGTATTAATATTTTTACATTCTCTTTTTCTCTTTAAAAACAAATATTAATCAAGTACAATGTTTTAAAATTAAATATCCTTATTTTTTTGTATAAATCAGGAAACAAAAAAGGTTTATTAGTAATTAATTTTATTTAAAAATTCACGAATTTCAAGTTAAAATCTACTTTTGAAAATTAAAATTCATAATACTAACCATAATATTACTCGTATTGTCTAACAATTAATTATATAAACCGATCGTTTCACATGTGCAGACATTTCCAATTTGTTATAGTAATAGTATTGGTTATATAGAATATAATTTATAATATTCTATAATCAATGATAATAGATATAAACATCGGTTGTATTTCAGACTGTTATAAGTATCATTAATCTTAGCGTCCTAGCTTTCGTGTACGAAACTCTATAATTTTATATAGAATAACAATTTAATTTATGCAACATTTCACTAAAACACCCAAACACCCATTGTTTTTTTTCCAGCGTGTACAATTTATTCTAATTTTTTCATGTTTACACGATATATTATTTTTTGAGTAAAAAAACATTTTATTTTATGAAACAGTCAGCAAAATTAAAAACTAGTAGGTATAATTTATAATATTCATAAAATAATGGCAGAAACCAAATTTCAATTTTTATGATAAATATAAAATGAATTTGCTAAAAAAAAGGGTGACTCACAAGTTCTCAAAATAGATTCGTAAATTATCGCAAATAACACATTATCACTTATCGTTTGATAATAATTGCTAAGTTAACAAAACGATGAAAGAGTCAACTTCGCAATCAAAAAATTAGTTTTGCGGGTAAAAAATAAACATATAAGTTTTAAAAATTGGCTTGCAAAATTTTAACGCATATGTCGATATATATTTTGACATTTTATAACTACATGAATGAGTAACATGAAGACTGAAGGGTCACATATTCTATTCTTATTTTCATAAAATTTACCCTTTATCTTTTTAATAACATCGTTATAAATAAGACTATAAGAGAGAACATAAAAAACAATAATAGGCATTACGTTGTTTTTTTTTTTAAATTATAGATGCCCTCCTGGTAAGGATTCCAAAAACTATCGTGGCTTCAAAGTTACAATTAATCATTCACATTTGTGAATGGTGGCAATCGATTGTACCTACAAGCAATCGCAATGCAATATTCTCGTATTCGTTTTAAATAAAAAAAAAAAAAAAACTATTTCATTAATACATAATAATTATGTATTAGAATCTAATGATTATATTATTACCTATTATTTTTATTATTATTGTCGTCAATACAAATTAGACATATTATAAGATTAGATACAATAACATTATAACTCACGAAAATAAAGAGGCGCATTTGCATAAGGCTCCGGAGCCAAGGATTTCAAACCTCTTCTATAGAAAGTTGGTTACTATTGGGTATTTTATTATGTTGTATCGGTTGTAATTTGTATGTATCTTTAGTAGTATACTAGTATAATTGTATAATAGCCATTAGCCTGTGCCCTGTACTTTTAAATATTGTAATTCTGGCCAGCCACAGGATTCATATCGTTTACGCGGCAAATTTTTCCAGACGTTCCTAACGTCCATCCATAATCCGGTAATAGTGTGATAAGAGGATAACGGTTTTCGTAACTCTAACGTTCAGACTTCAGATCTTAGAGGGCAGAGAATCAAAACTGACGACTGTTGGGTTTTCTGAGTTTTGATATTTGATACACCGTTTTGTTATAAATTTATTATCTTAATTTCCTTCTAGCTCAGCCGCTGAGCCGCGGGTCACGGGTTTGCATGTCGACTGTCGCTCTAAGACTTATTCGGGACAGACGAAAATCGGTGTTGTTAGGCTGTTCGTGGTACAGCTGATTGTGTCTTTTCAGGTAAGTTACAATAATTAATAACTACCTACCGACCGAAATATCGAGTCTTATTGTTCCTCGAACTGGATATTTAAGCCTAAATAACGATGGCTTAAACTTAGAACACGAACTAGAAAAAAATATATTTATGCAAATATTATATTTTCTGGAATTTAAATATATATGTATGAATCTAAAATTTTTAAAACTAACAATTACCAAGGTAATGCATTTGTGAGCAATGTGCTATGTGTTTTATGTAAATGAGTGAATATATTTGCATGTAGTAAAATTTATTTGTTGTATGACTATTATTTGAAAAGATTTTTAAATGTTCAATCTTGTCACCACTACTGATTTTGTATGTTAATTCAAACTAAATTTATAAACTTTTCCCTAAATTCTCCATAAAAAATCTATAGTTTTTAATTTGATAATTTTCAATTCTGTCATTACTCATAAACCCTAATAGGCGCTGATTTTTAAATTTTAGCATGAGGGCGTGGGCAAATAAAAAACTTAAGCTACTGTACAAGGATACTATTCCAATTCTTTTTATTGGCTTAGTTAAAACTAAAAAAAAACATTTTTATGTGAAAATATAATCTTTTTTAACTAAATTTATTTTGAAATCACTATATCATTATTTTATAAGTAGAGCGCAATTAATATTTTTTTCCTTTTCACGTTTTTGTTAGTTATTTTCACAAATAATAATTATTTGAATTTAATAGTAAAATATTTTTTTTGCATATTTTTACAAAATTCAAAATGTATTGCATATTACACCAAAAAAAATGTATTAAGTATTTAAGTAAATAATTATTATGAATGGTTTAATTTGTGAATTTTAAATAAATAAAAAAAAATTCTTGCATATTGTATAGCATATTTTAATACTTTTTAGTGCATAAAAATCTGTGCTCTATTTATAAGTAATACACTTAATTCCATTAATATTAATAACATAAATATTATATAATTTTTCAGGTATATCAATAATTATGAAACCTCAAGATCTATGTGATATTGATGATTTAGCTACATCTCTTATTGTTGATGTTTTCCTTGGATTTAATACCCACAAAATGAACATAGAACATAAAGATAGGTATAAATGTAAATCAGATTTAAAACCTATTATTGATGAATTCATAAAAAATCAAAGTATGAAAAAAGCTTTTGATTCATTTTGGAATCAAAAGTATATACCTAATCATTTATTTAAAGTGTCTTATAAGAAATTAGTCAGAGACCATATTGAACGATACATGGGAATGTTTTATTTAGATTCTGGTTTTCAAATTGAGCCATGCTATAGATATTCCTTAGAAAATAAAGTAGGAGCCAAAGTAAATGCTACTAGTTATTGGTATAAAGATGGAATTATTAAACGATTAGTTGGTTGTGTAGCTGAGCTGACAGAAAAAGAAGAAGATGAAATCTTACACATTGGGAAGAATGATTTTTCAGTCATGTATAGCTGTCGCAAAAAGTGTGCTCAACTTTGGTTGGGCCCAGCAGCATATATTAATCATGATTGCCAAGCCAATTGTAAGTTTGTAGCCAATGACAAAGGAACAGCTTGTGTTAAAGTACTCAGAGATATTAAACCTGGTGAAGAAATAACATGCTTTTATAGTGCTAATTTCTTTGGTGAAAACAATGTTAACTGTGAATGCTGCTCATGTGAAAAGTTATGTAAAGGAGCTTTTAAAACCAATGAAGAACAACCAAAATTAGGACGTTACAACTTCAGGCAAACTCATGGTCGAACTTATCGGTCTCCAGATAGAAGCCAAAAAGTAAAAGAACCAAAGACACCTAAAAAGAAAAAGAATGTGATTTTGGAACCTGTTACTCCTAACAAAAATCCTGAAGTTGATAAGGGTGAAGCTTTGCTTGGATCACCATACACAAAAATAATCCAAAAAACAAAAGGCTTAGATTTAGATAAAGCATCAAAATCACCAGAAAAATAATGGACAATAAGTAAATGAGGCATTATTTTTATAATATTGAATATACAATTAAACCACTGATTTAATTATTGTATAATCAATTAATGATTAAATTAAAAATTAAATATAATTTGTGCCCATATTTCAATTGAAATTTGAATACTTTCTAGTAAAACAATTTTTTTTTTTTTTTTTTATATATATATAAAATTATTAATAGTATTATAATTGTTTATCTATCACCAAATGTTTTCACTAGGTATTTACTGACCAATAATAGAGTATTTACTATTTAATAAGTAATTAGCAACCACAAGAAATTATGTAGCTAGCTTTAAATTTTAATTTTAATAATTATTTATAATAATTTGACGACTGTTTAACTTTTTGTAATTCTATATGTTTCCTTTTAATATGATATAAATATTATGAAACTAATAATAAAATTAAGTATTCTGAAACTTATATCTTTATCCTGCACACTTATATTAAATAATTAGTTTAGTAGAACCTCACTCAGTATGGCTACAGGTTGATAAGGATACATGACTTATTAATTATTAAGTAATAATAATTTATTTTATTATATTATTAATTTTTATATCCTTATCTTCAATAATTTTCTTTAAACTTTAATTGTAATATTTAAACAATTTTTTTTTTTGTTGTTGTTCAAATTTTTATTTTTGTAATTTAAATAAACTTATCTCTAATTAAAAATATTTTTTACTATTTCAATATATGAATCATTTTTACTGCAAATGTCATCTTAAAACTATAAAACAACATTGATTATTAAAAACAGTAAAATAAGGTTAGGTTAAATAAAATATTCAGATAAACAGATGTTGAGCTTTTATAATATTTATGCATATATTTATTGATCAATAAAAACATTAAAATTAACTAGTAAGTACAATATCATATAATATTATGTGCTAGGTAATAAAAATGAACAGCACTTTGGCAGTCTTGTGAAGTATAAATCCTAATTCAATAATGATTTCACAACTCCAACCATGTATTGGTATTATATGATACAATTAGGTAAATTTAGGTGATTTTTTTATAAAAAATTAATTTTATACTAGGATGATTAAGCAAGATCAATATTTGTTTGTAAATTGTATCCTAACGTACAACTTAATTACTTAAATAAAATTGAACATAAAGAATAAAGTAAAAACTCATTGACTATATGGTTTTACATTTAAAATAGTTAAGACATATTAATAAGTTTAACACTTTTTACACTCAAGAAAAACATTTAATCACATATAAAAGTAATCAAAGTAGAATACTAAACAATCACAGCAGTGGGGACTTGTTCTCCGTGTTCTTGGACCTTGGTTATGTGTACCAAGCAAAAGTTGTCTATCTAAATTTGAGTAGTGCATAATGCATAAAGTTGAACGTCTCAGTGATTAAACATAGTACAGCCGGACTTTTGACGATGATATTAGTAAGTCATCATCATAGAAATTTGTTTCTATTACAATGTTACCACTGAAAAAATATTTAAATATATAATAATAATAAGCTTAAAATTTCTAATTTAAATGTTTATATTAAAAAAAAAAAAACTATGTGTAACGTGTTAAATGGAAATTAGTTGATATAAAATAAAAGCAATACATTAATTAATTATAAAAACATAATTATTATTTATTTTATTTTTATTTGAAATAAACAATCTGTACCTTTGGGCGCAATAGGCTTATGTGATTAGAGTAAACATATACTTAATTCTAATAATTATTAATACAGATAAAAATATAATAAATAATGATATTCTTTAAAAAATAAATAATGAATTCTTGTATGTTCTTTAATAATATAAAAAATTAATCAAGAACTTTAAATACTCATAAAACTATACTGTACTGAATCATAATTTTATAAACTTACTTAAGAACATTGGCAGGCATCATTTGTGATTCTGGTGCTGCTTCAATTAGTGACTGCCAGGTGTTGGTTGAGTTGGGAATAACAAATCCAAATTCAAAATACCATTCCTCAAGACAACGACCCTATAATGTATAATAGAAAAATTTAAGATAGATAAAAATAATGTGTATGCAAAGATAATAAAAAAGTTTTGATTTTAAAATCTATATAAATTATCTAGTCTGTTACAAAAATGTAGTTTTATGTTTTGTTTACTATTATGATACTATTCATACCATGTAGATTAATGGGCTAACATTATATCAATAGATAAATTGTATATATAAATTTATATTACAAAGAATTATTTATAACAAACTTCTACATAGGCTGTAGACATATACCTTGAACAGCACTTTTTGTTGTAACCTCAATTTTTCCATAGGTTCTACAGATGAAAAATTTATCTCCCTAGATACTGCTCTACACTTCAATATTTTTTTCGGTACTTTAGCTTCATGTTCTTTGTCAGGTAATGATCTAATAAAAACATACATATAGAAGTTGAAAATTCTGCATAATTATATTATATAGATGCTATAAAAATATTTTAGATAATGTCCTTACAAATCCTCAGTGCCTTGCCATAATATTATTCCAGTATCAGCGTCTCTTAAATTCATCCAATTCCTATGAGAAAACAAGAATTTAATTTATGTAATTATTGATCCATGCTATCTTTAAGGTTTGACTTACACTTGGAATCCACTTAGAATATCCTCAGGTTTAGGTCCCATTATTCTATTCACAATTTAGAAGGTAAAGACGCTTATTGTTGGTGGTATCTATTAACGACGATTCAATTAATTGTTCAGATGGAACGATAAAACATTTCGAACGATCGAATGGTGACTGAAGCGGACTAAAAAGGCGATGTTGAAACCCGTATGAAAGACGAAAAGTACACGAAAACAATAAAATTAAAAAATATTGTGTGAACCTTTTCAACGTCCCGTCGGAGTAATAGGAACGGGTGCGCCGAAAATGCGGTTCGTCAATACTTAACAATGCTAAATGTGATATTAAAATATTAAATATTCATAAAATATATACCTAAATTATTATTTACTATCACTACTCAAATACTCAATACTCAATACTATATAGTCAATACTCATTAGCGTTATTAGGTCTTTTATTATTATTATTATTATTATAAATTATTTATATTGATAATCATAATCAGACCGCGACAAATGATTTTTTTACGACTGCCGCGATTTTGGCGCTGGAGGAAAAAATAAACATTGCCACCCACAGTTTTACTTCCACGACCGTCAGGCACACTCTCGCGCCACTCGATAATTTCCTGCAAGTGGGTGGTTACTGGTTAGAGTCGATGCTGCGCGGCGCGGGAGCTTTTGCGTTTTTGCACTTTACAGCTCAGACCATAACTGCCGAACACGATTATCTCTGATCGATCGTACGTCGTGCTCGGTGGTCTTATACGGTGTATGTTCTTTACGCGCTATCCCTACATAAAATATAACGAATGGATTAATTATAATTATTAGATAAATATATTATAATATATTACATAGTATCCGCCCGGAAATGACTTCGTTATCTGCCAATGTACAGACCGCCGGGATGTCGGACCCTGTGACGGCGGCGGACGACGGATCCGGGGCCGCGTCTTGTAATCGCAATCCGCTACTGTGTTTCCTGTGCGAGGACTATTACGACGATCCTTGTATCCTGATATGTTTCCACACATTTTGCGCCAAATGCATCCGGACCAAAAATCAGGATGGCAAAATCAACTGTCCCTTGTGCGGGTGAGTATCGTCTGCAATAGTTGAATATTTTAATAATATAGTAATATAGATAGCCGATAGGTAATATGTAGTCATATAGTTCAAGGGTAGTAGTCAGTAGGTACCTATATACAAATTGGCGGAGGACTGAAATCCTATTAGCCTATCTAAAAATGATTAAGTTTCTAATTGTATTAACACTTTAAAATGATATTGGACAATTGTAAAGTATATAAACTAGTACAAAACTACAATGTATATGGCTATATTTTATACCTAATATATTATAATATTATACACATGACTAGTGAGTAGTGACTCACTATATCTATATATATATATACATTTTTTTCTATACTTACATGTTTATTAATAGTATTTGATTTATTATAAAATTTATGGAGTACCCAAGTATCCATTATCATTATGATATTTTTTAATTTTTTTCTAACTGCCTATAATATATATAAGAATAAACAAATATATTAATTACCTATTATCGTGCCGTATCTAGATGTAAATTGAAACGCAATAATAAATTCGTCTATCTTGGATAAAAACTTCAATCATCTACTACAATTTATCTAGGTATTTTAAGTTTCAATAGCTTGAATCAAAAACAACAAAAAAGTTTTATATTAAGATATTACCTACATCTACTATTCACTAAAACACTAATTTCTAATAATAACTAATAATTGGTAACAAATTTGAAAAAAACATCTTTATTTACGTATTTTCCAATTATTTAAAAAAATAATAATTCAAAATCTTTTTCATTAATTTATAGAATAAGTTTAAAACCTGTTTTCTGATGTATTTTAATTAAAAAAAAATTCAAGATAATTGGATGAGAAGAACACCCCTAACAAAAATTTCCATTTTCACGTTTATATAATAATATAGATAATTTATAGTTTACTTATTATTTACTATTTATCTGTCAAATGGATTACGCTGAAAAACAAAATGATTTCGATATGAGTTACATAATTTTATTATCAAGTATTATAATTAGTATTCTAAAATTGATGAAAATGTTTGTGTATGTAGTCCCTTTACAGTTTTAATTTTCCAGGATATAGAACTAGGAGTGAGTTATATAATTTTATGATTTTCTATTATATTGTATACTATGAATTTGCCCATGATTTAAGAAAACAAACTATATGAATCCATTTTAATACTAAATAGACATTAATTATATGTATAATATAATAATATATGTATACACACATCTATATTTTTATATTATATTGATATGTGCACACGAGAACAGCAAATACGATTACAATAATATTTCTATTAATATCATTCTCGGGCCCTCTGGTATGGTGACTTAGATGTTTTTAAAGATAAATTATGAAATAATTCTATGATTTTAGTGAATATAGTTTCACTGTTTTAGTGATAATCTTAGGGAGTGTAGTGTTTGTTTTTATTGTTTTTAATATACTTCTACAAGCTATATCGAGATATCTATCAGATCCAGTCTTTGGCATATAGGTAATTATTATTATTATTAAATTATTGAATTTTAATTATTTTATTCTATGGTCATATTATCACTATCATTAATCGATATCGGTTTTTGTATGGTTTGATAATTATTTTAATTGGTTTTTCTAATTTGATTGTACTTAAGAATTATACTAATATACCTGCTTTATTATTGCTAGTTGACGAATCGACATTTTAACGCGTTCTATCGTGAGATTTTTCTGGACATCAATTTATAAGTGTGTATGTGTGTTTTTTAGAATTATTATACCTATTTTTAAATGTTTCAACTTTCAACATTTAGGTAATATTAAATGTTATTACAAGTTTATACATACATGTTTATAATATTAATAATTTAAGAAAAAATATGTTCAATAAAGTATAAATTATTAGATTAAATAATTATTTATTTATTATTAGATTAAACGGGCGAGCCCAGTTACAATTTAAATGTGGAACAAAAATAGAATTATTTACATAGATGAGGATTGTTGTATACAATAAATTAATTGATTAAATTACTAAGATACAAATTAAAAGAAACAATAGAATTACAAATAAACATATCAATATTGTAATTATTTACATGTTGCATGGATCTAATTAAAGGTGCGTTTTTACCATATGAAGTACGCTGGAATGGCACATAAAAGGTATCAGTTAGTCTAGTCGTATGGCCAGAAACTAAAAAAGAAATATTTGACAATAGATCTGGACAGTTAACACAACCTTTAAAAGTTTATATATAAAATAAATGTCATGTTTAACCCTTCTGACCTGAAGAGTATCAATGTTTAAATATGATAATAGTGGTTTATACGAAGAGTGAGGTAAACGTTGAATATTACATTTATTACTTATAATTCTCAAAAATCGATTTTGAATCGCCTCTAGTGAATGAATTGGACCAGACGTATAAGGAGACCAAATTATTGAATTATAATCCAAAATTGACCTAACAAAGGCGCAGTATAGTGATTTGAGAGCCATAGGATTATCAAAATGATTACAGCTTCGCAATATAAACCCTAGCATTGAGGACGCTCTGTTTTGAATTTGGATATAATGGTCATTGAATGAAAGAGAAGTCTAAATATACACTCAAATCTTTCACAAGGTTGACTCGATCTAATTCAATACCATTTAAAAAATACTTGTTTAATAAGGACGAACGCTTTTTAGTGAAAGTAATAACTTTACATTTAGAAACATTCATGTACAATTTGTTTATATCACACCAATCACTCACGTTATCAAGATCATTCTGAAGCAATTTAGTATCAAGTGCAGTTTTAATAACACGGAATAATTTAACATCGTCAGCAAAGGAATTGATATCCTTAATGTCATTAATATAAATATTAAAAAGAAGAAGAGCCAAATGAGAACCTTGAGGAACTCCAGAGGTAATATTATACATATATGAATTATAATTTTTAAATTTCACGTACTCTTTCCGATCTGATAAAAAGGATACAAGCCATGAAAATGTGTCAAATTTTGCAAGTGTTATACAAGACCCAAGAGTTATCTGTACCTATGTAGTATCATAGAATGGAAAAATTCCAGACTTCTGTTTTTTTGTTTAAGATCTAAGTTTGTGAACTGAGCACCTTTTGATATTTTGAAATTGGATTTTAATAGTCTTCTAGATGAAGTTTTTCGATATCTTTATGAATTTATATATTCCTTATGAGTTATGAACACTGATGCTAAAATATTTTCCAACTCAAACCATCTTAACAATCATAATATTATTAAATCAAGCCATATTTTTTCATTCATACCTATTACTCGCCTAATTCAACCAGTTTCACGTCTTTTTTTAACTTACGCGTGAACAGTTCAAGACAACCGCCTTTTCTTACTTCACTTATTAAGCCAGAGTTTTTGATAAAGCTCCTAATTCTTCATATTATTTCTTATTAATACTAAAATAGTAACTGTTACTAGTGATTTTTACTGATATAACGTAATAATTAAACTTCAGAGAATTTCTCACACGACAATTCCCAACAGATATAGAATATTGCCTATATTCAACCCCTTAAAAACGGTCCGCTTTCAACATTTTTAGTTAATTTGAACCAACAAGTTGTTACAATTAAGATAACTTTATTTTTGTATGTTTACACGTTTTATAATGAATAAAAATATATTAATCTACAATTTTGAGAGTAGTTTCTGATAGGAAATTAGAACTAGTTGATTTTTTAAGTTCATAATTCAAAATTCCAGACTTCAAAATAGTTGAGAAAAAATTAGGTCTTAAGGAAAATTGATTTTTGATTAAATCGTTTTTTATTTCGTTGTTATTTGATACGGTTAATTAGAATCTTGAAACTTTTATATTACTATTTTTGATAAATACAGTAAAATTTTCAAGACTCATTTTAAGCTATTTATATATATATTTGGAATTTTTGATCAGTGGAAAAAATGTGTCTAGTACATTACAGTAAATTACTCAATGACAATGTACACTTAAGTGCAGTGTAGTTGTATTTAATTATGTATGTACTATAATTATCGCCTTAGGCGCACATGGGGAAGTGATGAGGGTGCTGACTATCTCAAGCTCCAAATTAACACTTACAGTTTACCTGAATAATTAAGTATTTTTTCAATTATTTGTAAATTAATGTGGTTTATTGGTTTAGATAAAATTTTTTTTTCCGTTACAAATAGTTCATATTCAAAATAAGTATTATGTAAATGCACATTCCATTTTTCATCTTAACATTAAACAATTTTGCAAATTAAAAATAATATACTATTGACAATACTACTTACAAATAAAGGTTAGTTCTATATAATCCATTTGGATTGTATATTATTGCTTTATTTAATACTATAT